GATACTCACGCATGATCGTATCATTATTAACTGGTTTCACAGTTCTTAGAGGGTAACATGACGTATAATGGTTGTTAAAATTGAATTAGTAGCTAAAATATATTATTGTGCTTGAAGAAAATTTCTGTGTTTTTCTGTGGGATTAATTTATAATATTATGTACTCGTATTAATAACTAACATCATATTATGTTTTCTATCTATCTATGAATGTTAATGTCCAGTAGTTTCATATAATGATGCGACTAAATATTCATATCTTTTGGGGTGGTCTTCCAAAAAATGAAAGAATAATATTCGTGTTTATTTATTTTAACTAAAATATGTGTTAAATCTGTAATACCAATTTCACTTCCAAAACAAATACAAGGAAAACAAAATAATGTGACAGCAGTCACCTACCTAGCCATTTGTACTTTTGGAATAACTCAGTATTAAAAAGACAGCTATAACCATTATTTCCCTTTTTTTGATTTTTGAGTTAAATTAGTTTAAATTTTTTTAGTTAAATTCAGGTAATTGTTAGGTCTTGATGGTTTAGTTTCAATTTATTTTCAAATGACTCCGACGACAATTATAATAATACAATTTTATAAAATTGTTGTTGAATTTCACGTCTTTTATTTTTATCACAACAATCAGAAAACAATTTTTGAGGTCTACCGACATTTGATGATGATGATAGAAATGGCATAACAAATATTTTTTTTAGCCATTCAACATTTCATTCACTAAATCTATTAATATTTTGTGAACTTTTTATCCAAAATTTGCTTAAGACGTCTGCAAAATTGGAAATATTTTGTTTAACTTTGTTTTCATATTCTTCTTCTAAATTGTCAGCATTATATTTTTCTTTAATATATTGTAGTAAATATCATAGACGTGCGTAGGGGGTATGCAGGGTATGCAACTGTATATTCTAAACATGAAGCCTTCTTTCTAAAATTATAAAAAATAAATTAAAATTATGACATATTTAATCTTATGCATATTATGTGATTTTTATTATATTTTTATATTCAGTCCCAGACAGTTTAATTTATTTTTGAAATACAAATCATATGCTATAATAACAATTTAATATGTTAATTAAAATAAAAAGTACCTACAATAATTCAAGCGAGATTAAATAGCTATCAACTACAGAACAAGAAATGGCTATAAATTAAAATCCCGAAAACATTATTGGTGATATTAAGAACTCAACTGTACGCAGAATCATTTTATGATTAATTTTGATTATTTATCAAATTTATTTTGTTTTTCATTTAAGTATATAATTACGTTTTTATTTATTTACCCTATTTAAATGTATCACTCAATCTATTTCAAGTGTTATGTATTTCATTTTTTTTTTTCGTAATGTATTTTAAATTTAAATTATGAAGGCAGTTATAATGATTAAGAAATGGCTATTCAGTCACTTTTTTCAGGAAAAAAAAATAAAATTTTAAATTCAATAGTTATTAAGACCAAAATAGCGAACGCTTAAATTAACTTTCAGTTTTGGGGGGAGAGTTAAGCAGTGGCAGCCTTTTGCATACCCTAAAAAAGAGGTTTGCGCACGCCTATGGTAAAAATCGGTTAGATACCACACTTCTCGGATCCAAAAGCTACTTTTTTCTTAAGAATACAAACAAATCATTGTATACGATTTTGTTATTTTTATCAATAACTGAAATGTGACAATAATAACCGTTGAACCAACAACATTTATAGGGAAATAACAAATATGCTAATCTCAGACTCAACTCGACATAGATTGAAATTATGTCATTGAAAAGCTAAGAAGTTTTTGAATAATACCTATATATTTTTATATAATCATTTTAGATCTCTTTAGATCCGCAGTCTGTGATAGTTTAAAAATACATGTCAAATAAGAAACACATATTTAAATTTAATTATTTAATAATTATATATTTAATATTAATAAAATATGAAATATCACTTACCTTCCTCGTCTATTTCCATGACTAAGTACAATATCCTAAGGTAAATTGCGTACAAGTGCCTCAAACACGAGCAACTAAGAAATTACGAGTTTAACTCGTTAGTTCAGACGCGTAGTCAGGGGAATGTTACAGGTATAGTAACACCCCCCTTACTATGTTATACTTAAGTCTTATAAAAGTAAAAATTCATCATGAATCGACCGTGATGAACATATATTTATCATAACGAAATATATATATATATATTGTGATAATAGTAATATAGTGCTGGGACCCGGCTTCTTATTACACTATTTTATCTAATAAATTAAAGCCGTGATTTTGTATCGTTTCATATACGATTTAAAATATATATATAAGAGACAAATTGTCCATTTAAAATTTTAATAAATTATTTAAACACTTTCTCATACGTTTTTAACGTGGTTACTGTTGATTTCATTATGAAGTACCAATCAAATCTTTATACACTAAATGTATAGATTAATTATCAGGTATAAAATATTTGATTTTAAAACTATTTTTTTTTCTATTTTGTTCGCCTAAAGTATAACTTTTGACCACTGTACGACGCGCGTTCATTGGTAAAAATGTAAAAATTTCATGTGGTAAAAATTATAATTGACTAACATTTATATTTTAAATATATTTTACGTAAAATTCCTTTACGTAATATTTCTTTATGTTTAGAAAAAAGTATCAACTTGAATAATACTAAAATTGGAATTTTGAATTAATTTTTTATATGCAACATGTAAGGAAACATACATTTATTTAGAGATGCCATTGCATCTAAACACCAAAACCCAAGCCGTCATTGTAAAGGTCTATTAAATAATAACTTCAGACAGGCTCGTGCGTAGGAATCGTTTAATGGGAAGGGTTCAAAATTATATATGTTATGTCAGGTAAGAAGTCAATAAAAAAATATAAGTTAGAATGACCATAATCTAAAATATCAGGATCGAAAATCAATAAATGTCAACAAATATCTGATCATGTTGAATAGCTGACTTATCAGTGAAAATACGTTTTACCAATGGTTGAATTTACAACGATAATTGACAGTAGGGGGAAAATGCACAAAAATTCAATAGAAAAAGGCAACAAATTGAGAAAATTGGCAGTTAAAATAAAAATAGACAACTATGTATGAATTTTCAAGTAATTTTAACTTGTATAGAATGATGACTATTCTTAGTAAAAATGTATGTAAAAAGGTTCTCGATTGGAGGGGGGGGGGGGTTATAACCCTTTCTCTCCTTCGCACGTGTCTGATTTTAGATACCAGGAGATGGTAAGATTTGTGAAGTGCAACATAGTCGAATCAAATTATACTATCAATATGTATACGCAATATTTATGGCTTGAAAATAAAAAAAATGTAATGAAATACAGTTTTAAATAATGCTTGAGGACTTAATTTTCATGTGAACATTTCATATGCATGTACTACGATACATTCAATATATATTTAAAATAATGTGTACGTATTTGCACTTGATTATAATAAACGTGTGCACTGTTGAATCGTGATATTCATAAATAATGTCTGTAGGTACTCTATATTTCTGTAGCCTTATGGCCTATAGAAACGATGAACAATTAACTGCCAGACTGTCCACTGTAATTCAAATGTAATATTTATCATTAAATTATTACTAGATTATGTATACTAAATAAAGTATAATATTATTATCTCAATTAACAAGTGACGTTTGATTTATGATGCTTGGTTCAATCGAGTTTATATGTTAAAATTTTGTAATATAAATTTCAAATATAACGTACCTATAAAATATACTACACATTTACTAGGTACTCGAGATGCCATCAAAGAATTTAAGTTTCTCTGTTTACAATTAATGGCTCACTAATATCAAGTACGAAACAATTTTTATGTGCATTGTTTGTGTCTGCTTTATTTATTAAATATGAATAGCCCATTGAAAAGTATATACTTCTCATCAGTTTATTGTCGTTGTATCGTCAACACTTGCTACGAGTTCATGACCTATTATAGAACAAGACGTTAGCTTTTGTGTGGAGTCAGCTCAGAACACAAATTTGCTTTTGTGAAAATATGTTATCGCCAAGTCTTATCATACAATTGTCATCAAACAATATTATTTTTGTTTAGACTCTAAAGCTCTTAAGCTGTAAGATTTATTCGGGCTGATTTACGGTTTAGATGATGAAAGACCATCTTATAAACTTCGACCGTACACCACAAATGAAATAGCCAGAGTGATAGTGGACCACCACATTATGAATATAGGTATTATAGTATAATATAGGTAATATAAGTATTATTGGTTTAAAAATATAAAGATTCGTCATTTTATTGTTCAAAGTGCAAATAAAAAGAAAAATTAAATTAGACGCAGCAATAGTAATTGATAAAAAAGTTTTTGCAAACAACAAACAACAAAACAAATTTTGTAAATTCCAATAATATATAACGTAGTTAATATAATAAAAATATATAAGTTTTAGGTAAGCGCGTATCAACGTAAATTCACTACTCATGTATAATTTTCTATTTCTCCTTTAGGACAAACTCGTTCAATCACGCTATTGAACTGGCCGCACGCACACACCGAAACACGCGAATAAATGATAAATTAGTGATAATTATGTATAATACACTGTAATCATATTCTACTGTATATTATACGAAGATTACATAAATAGTGGTGTATATAAAATAATGGATAATGGATAATGTTCCTATTGGTTGAACTACAAGTTGAGAGAGAGAGAGAGAAACGCAGAAGTTGTCACTGGATAATAGTCAAAAGAAACTATAAAAATACTATGAAACAATAATGTCGTGAGCCCCAGGCCGTACCAAGGGGGTGGCGAGAGGTGTTAATGCTCCGGGCGTAATTACTGGAAGAGTAAATTAAATGAAATTAAATTACTGGAAGAAAAATGAAAATCTTGCATTCAATGTTAAAAATTACAACGGTCAATGTCGTATATTTTGTTTACAAAATCTTTAAAATCTTTTATATTGATTAAAGCAATCATTAAAAGTACATAAGGGCGCATTTTGAAGTTTCGCCCCGGGCGCAATGTTTGGTTGCTACGGCATTGCGTGGACCCGTACGGGCTGAAACAAAATGATTACTTACAATAGTATTACCCGTTACGATACGTTTATTAAATACGGAATGCAACATATCGCCGAGGCCGCTGAACGAATTTTGCGCGGTACGAGGACAAAACGCGCGAAATTATGAACGCGCGTTGGCCGGTCGGTTGGTCTCGCGCGGCACCGCGAACCGCCGCCGGATCGTCAGGAAGTCGAACACGGCCGGGCCGTCGGTATCAGAGGCGTTGGTCGCTGCGATAGTGTTGGCGCGACGGCCACGGAACGCGTCGGTCGCGGCCGCGGTATACCGAAACCAGCACTTGATCGTCTGACCGTCGTCGTCGCCGTAGCGTCTCCTGAACGCGTCCGCGGGACTCTGGCGGTGCTGTCCGCGGTCCGTCTCGCGGTGGATGGCCAACAGTTTGGCCTTGAGCCGTTCCAGGAAGCCGGGCGGCGGGAACTCGGACTGCCTGTCCGCGCCAGACTTGCGCAGCATGCACCACGGGTGTACGACGACCAGCAAGTTGCGATCGGGTCGGCTCACCGTCCAACTGTCACCGCCGTTGGTTGCCATGGCCACGCCGGAAGCGGAAGTGGCGGCGATCTCGGTACCGGTGCCGCTAGAGCCGGTTGCTTTTTGGTCGACATGCCCGACCGGGTCGCGGCCGTCCGCCGACGACGTTTCCGCCTCATCAGTAGATCGTTTCCGTGACGAATCTAAAACCGCACGAGTGTACACTGTAACAATGTAGCCGCGAGCGTGGGTGTGCAAACATGGTTCGCGGAAATTTGGACACCCGTCACCGGATGATCCATTACCAATACAATTATCAGTATTATCAGTCGTACATAATGGACGGCTAATCGGACGATTTAGGTATTATTATGCATTCGACCGGCAGTATTAAAATGTATTAACATGCAATGCGAAAAGGAACAAATGCACAACGATTGCAATAAATAAAAACCTTTTTATTGTTTTCCTGCACAATGAAATACCTACCTGGTTCGATCGTAATTGTTTTACTGGAATCTCTTTTCCGGAGCTGTAAATAGTTTTAATCACGGCGTTCGTTCCCGATACACTCCCCCCCCTCTCCTCCTTCGACTCTCTTTGCGCCTACGACGTTTGAGCTACACACGTGCATCGTATAGAGTTGACGGCGAATGATACAGTTTACGATTGCGTGATATTCTGTCTTGTCACGCACGAGATACTCGTAGACCATTGCGATGAGCTCAGACTTAAATGCGTGTTGTTAAAAAAGTGTTGACGATAAACATCAGTAACGCAGCCGGTATCATTTTTCGATTTTAATATTTGTCAAATCGACGAGATCTTGTTTTAGACAAGTAACATTAACGTTTGATATTTTGATTTATACTGTTTTATTAATAATTAATAACGAATTACGTGGACATTTTTAGTCTACAATCTGGGTGCAATATTATGTTTTATAGCAGTGCTTCCCAAACTTTTTCGATTCACGGGGCACCCTTTTTGATTTAAGGTTTTTTCAGAGCGCCCTTCTCTAAGTCATAGCATAACTAGTCATAAGAAAAATGTTGGACCCGATAGTATTTCATGACGGCGCGGCGCCCTTACACAGACATCGCGGCGCATTGGGGCGCCGGGGCGCACATTTTGGGAACCTATGTTTTATAGAGTTCATGATTTATAACATTTTAACGTAATCAAATAATTTATCGTCAGTCGACTCGGGTAATTTTCAATTATTATTATTAATGTACTTGTGTTGGTTTTCCTTAATAATTGTTGGTAGATTGCCGCCATGCGTTTGTGTTGCTGTTTCAATACATTAAACTAAATATCTACCAATCAGCATAAAATTATAATTTACATGTAATCTTGAACGTTAGAAAAATATGTTGTGTCCATGAGCGGTTTATGTATCGTTAGACGTGACTACACGAAATCCAACGACTACGGTAATGCGCACTGCTCTTTTCTACGGAACTCTTCACCGTAAAATAGTTTTACTTGTGTAATGCAATAAAATTAACTGTGCCCACTAAAGTCTTTATAGTTAATAAAATAGAAAATTGATACGGTAGTTGTATCACATATGTAGGTCACCGCAGCACGATAATATAATACATTAATATATTTTTTATTTTTAACAATACATTGTGTAATGTTTTTTTTTTCGTATTGATAAAAAAATCGTAAACTAGTTTAAAAAATCCATTTGGATACCGTAAACTCCTCATAATAGCACGTTCTTCAACGTTTATAATTATAATATTATGTATACAATATATGAATGATATTATACAGCTTTAGACGACTTCAAACAACAAAAACTACAGAGGCACTATGTTTAATAAATGGAAAAAAGTAATATCGTCGATGGAAGGCTAGCCTATAAAAGTTGTTATGAAATAAAAGACTCTGTGTAAATTATAATTTCTACAAAGTGACTTAGTTGTTTTTTATGTAGAATAATAGTAAATTACATTGAGTATTTGATGAGTTAAGTTTGTTAATTATACGTATACTTACAATTCGACATTTTATCGAATTCCTCGGTTTCAAAAATGGATATTAACCGTAGAAAATGTTGAGTAGGTTCGATAGCCACACCATTGTCTTCTTCTGTTATTGTTAATGTAGTATTACGATTGTTTTTGTACAAATCGATGGCATTTGATCTGTAGTTATCACCGGAATTGGACATAGTTAGGTTAGACAAAATGAAAAACGCGACCAACAATTTCTGTGGTGTAATAATGAATGAAAGCTAACGATTGTTTTCAATTGCTTTTTATTTGGCATTTTAAAACAAGTGTAAACTATTGTGAGGGTAACATTTGTTTATATACTTACCTAACTTAAATCACAGTTATGTTTCTGATTCAATAGTTTATGTTTTTTAATTGTTTTAATATTACGCATGCAACCGCTAATTGTTAATGCACTTAAAATTGTTTTTACTCTCTGATGTATTTTTTTTTTTTAATAACAATGCGCAATAATTATATCAAAATCCTTTATGTGTTCGGACTAATGTGTTTACAAAAGACATTTTTCTTCTTAAGAATTTTAAATTTAACACATTCATTGCTATGTACAACAAATATTTTGGAAATTTAATTAAGCTTTAAATAATATTATAGTAATGCGGTTTTTAAAAATAATAACCGCAATAAATTCCTTTTTTACTATTTTCTTGATTTTTGATTTTAGTTAACGTTTCCAATACTCATTAAATTTATTGTTTATTATAATCAACATTATAGTATTCGAACTATAAAAATGAACTAATGTTGAAAATAATCGATATCGATGAAGTTACTACATTAATACAATTCATTTGAATATTTATAGTTTACACGTATTGTATAGATTGCTGTTGGTCTTAACTCAATGTTAACGATATGCGTTTTCCTGATTAAAGTTTTTTTAAAGTTAATTTTAAAAGTATTAGTGATTAGTTAAATTTAAATTCCTTCAGAAAATTAACCAGTTTTTATTATTTATTTAATTTAAATATAATAATAATTATGATATAAATAATAACGTGAAAAAACTTTTTTTTTTGTTCAAAAATGTAGAGCGAATGGGTACTTATTATAATGAAATAGTAATCCTAACTCTCAATATTTATCTCATTTGAAATGAAATATGCTATTCATTTATTATAGTATTAACTATTAAGTGATCTTATTGTCTAAAACTAAAATAATGACTTGACCGGAAAAAAAATTATATACAGGCGTGCAAATTTTTAACCGTGTAGTGGTGATTGGCTAATCGGAAACATCCGTTATGTTTGATAACAACGACCATGGTTTTCCTGTGATAAACAATTTCCTGGCTAGTTATTTTAACTAAAATATTTTTATTTCACTATATGATTTAATATTTTTGTATATGTACATATAGTCATTGAATAATTATATTTGCATTTTGTTATTTCAACACATAAAAATAAATAATAGTTTTTGATAAAAATCTTCTGAGTATACATTTTTATTACAATTTGTAATTATTTAATCATATTACTCTATAGTATCAAATTTGTTAAATATATATTAAAAATAATAATGTTAGTGCCAAATGTTTAAATTAGATATTATAGAAATCATAATCACATAAAAATGTACTTGTTTTCTTTTTTAATTATATTTTCTTACCGTACCTATAACGTTTTTTTTTTTATTATGGTAGTCATTTTATTTACATTTAAGTCTGATACTTAGATAATTTATTTTGATTTTTTAACGATAGTAACTAATATTTTATTATTTTTAGAAAAAATAAAAATAAAAATTTCTATAGGAAAAATTTTAATTTATAAGTAATTATTAAAAGCAAACTACAATATATTATCCTCAATGTAGTAATGTGAACTCAAGAACTTAAAATTAAATTAAATTTATTTTTATACATATAGGTAGGGTTTTAAACTACTGAGGAGGATTATATATATAAAATCAACCTGCGAAGAATTTTATCCTACAAAATAAAATTCCATTTATAAATATATAAAGAACTATTTAATTTGTGAATATTTTTAAGATTCAACATCATTTTTTACCACGCAACATCGTGCTACAACATGATTTCAAAATATAATAAGAATTAAAAACAATTTAGAAATTAGTGATAACAAATAAAATTGTTTCCTTAGATAGCATGTTATGAAAGAACTCAATACCAATGGTATAAACATATGAGTCAATAAGTGACCTATTATTATATCCTATTATAATTATGAATATTGTTTCAATCGAGAGATATAAAACCACAAATGTGGTTTTATACCACAGATAACAAAACTCTAAAGTAGTTAAACTTTATTATTAACAAATATTATTTTTGTTGATTATATCAAAAAGTTTAAAATTAATTTAGACATTAATTTTAATCAAATTCTATAAATTTAAGTCGTTAGTTATGACACATACAAGTACCTCCTTATTGAATCTAAAAATTGTTTAATTCAATAATTTAAAAGTATAAAATATGATACATTTATATATATATAAATTATACATTTATGAGTGGTTCAGTATTAAATTAAATTTACTGTTATTTTATTTTAATTGATTGTTTTCATTAAAAATAACGAGTATACTGGTCAAAAATAGAGTTTTAGGTTTTAGTATTTGAAACAATACACAATATTCTAATTTTAATAAAATATTATCTACATTTTGAAATAAAATATGCAAAATTATTTATCTAAAGAATTTTTTACATAACATTTTTAATGTAATTATTTAGAATAATAACTTTAATATAATAATTAATACAATATTTATTTAAATGAAACTATTTCAAATTATTTTATCTAAATATTTTTCATAATTTTTATTAAAATTAAAAATTAAAAACTCAATGAAAAATTTAAACTATAGGTATCCATTTTTAAATTTAATGATTGAATATTATTTTCAAATTAAAAATTATTTCAACTCGGCTTATTGAATTCATTATGGACTAAAGTTATTAAAATGCCTTAACGTTTATATAATATATATATATATATATATGTACTAACATAATTATCTAAAAATAAACATATCTAAATATAAAATAAAATAATAAAAAATAAAATAAAAATGTAGTAAATGTAATAATTTATTACACTTGTAAATTAATATATTAATAATTAGTTTATATAAATAAATAAATAAATAAATGCTTAGCCTGAAGAACTATTATATTTATAATTTAAGACCGGTTATGAGTAAAAATTCATTATCAGGTATATATAAAAGTTAATAAAATTATGTCTGAGTATGAAAAAATAAAGGAAAACATTTGTCGTTTAACATCGAGATAATTTATTTTAATATGAGGGGATATTTAAAATGAGTTTTTATTAAATATAGATATATTAAAAAATATAAATACTTTGGATGTTATTATTAATTAACATCTAAAATGTATAAATATAAGATATTACATTTTAAAATTGGTTTGTATAATTAAAATATTATTATAAAATATGAATATGAAATTATAATAATAAAAATAAATAAATATCCTAAATTATTATCAAACACTTATTATTAAATATTAAAATAAAATGTATTTAAAAAAAAAAATTATATCAATGCACCACATAAGAATCCTAATTTAAATCGTAATCATTATTTTTAATCAATACTTATAATTGTTTCTAGTTTAATTTAATGTTGGTGCTTAGAGGAATACACATTAACTAAAAAATAATATATGTAAACGGTATTCATATATTTCTATTTCTACGATATTACATTTTTTTTTATGTACCTATGTACATTTATGTTTTTTTCTGAATTGTAAATTAAAAGCATAACAAGTAATGTATTGTTTTTAAATGCTAATATTTGTTTACTTTAAACAACGCGGCATGTTATTAGATTATACATTGGATACAAGAGTTAATTTAGAGAGGTCATTTTTAGACTTTTTTTAACTATAAAGAACATTAGATTACAATAAGTGTGATATTTTATAAAAAAAAAATCTTCAGTAATCATTTAAATAAAGTTATTAAATTTATGGTTTTTGAATATAAATATATATATTTTAATTATTTTTCACATTTCCTGACGAATCGCATTAAAGACATGATAAAACAAATGGATATTTTTTGTTTTGTATGAGTTTTTGAATTGATTATTTTCAAATATGCGCATTTGGATAAAATCATTTGACTAATATATATCTTTGTCCTACACAATATTCAGAATATTTTTCTATGTAATTTATATTTATCCTATTTGAAAAATAACATGACTAATAAGAATTAACAAAAAACCAATTAAAAATTAAATAAAACACCATTGTAAAATATTACATTACTCGTTTCGCTTAGAATTTATAAAAGTAAAATAATATTAAAATAGGATAGAGCTCTAATATTTATAAAATATAAATAATTTGAATTTCTGCAAAGTTTTCATGGACTTTCATTAACTTACTATTTAATATTAAGTTAAATAACATTTGGTCAATACACTGGTCAAAACTCTTTCAATTTTTTTTCAGAAGACATAATACAATAACGTTTTATTTATTTTAGCTTGTTGATGTTAATCGTGAGATTGTTTATTATTTGTTTTAATTCATAACTATTAATTAAATGATTAATACAATTTGGTTTATTATCATAAACATTTGTGTTTAGGTTTATAAATTGTAATTATTAAAATTTAAATTATGAATAGTAATTAAGTTTTGTTTCAAGTGTTGTATCATATTTTTTACATTACATTTATGTACAAGTCGTGTATATTTGTGTATATCGTTGGATTTAATGCAAATATTGTAAACAAGAATGCACAGGTACAGAAAATAACTTAATATCATTCAAATATTTATCTAGTCGATTTTACAAAAAAAAAAATGTTAGAAAATAATTAATCAAGTTAATTTTGATAAGTTTCTAAAGTAAAGCATAATAAAAAAAGTGCGCTATCTTTTATAAAATAACAAACTTTAAATTGGTACATGCTTTTTTTTTACATCAGCGTTTTATAATTGCATAAGATATTACAGATATATTTTCCTTTTTACAAAAAATTATAAATGAGCTTAAATGTATTACGCTGATCTGATAAATGTTATTTCTTAGTATCCTTAATCTATGGCTGATTACCAAAATTTGACTTATTCTACTTTATCATATTCGCAATTATTATATTATTTATGAATTAATCGATCAATCATATTATTACACCG